ATTTGAACCATAAATCTCTCTACACCCCTCACAGCATGTCCAGCTTTGCAAGGAGCCACCTGTCCCCTTCCTAACAGCACCGCCCTCTCCTGACATCAAATCATCCTGAAATGGCAAGGCACTTACATGTCTAGGTCCCTTTGCTCCTTTCAAAATATTTTCAATAGGCATTATTTTGTTCATGTTTGCAATATCCTTATAAAAATATTTATGTGCAGCCCTAACCGGTTTGGCTCAGTGGATAGAGCATCGGCCTGCGGACTCAAGGGTCCCAGGTTCGATTCCGGTCACGGGCATGTACCTTGGCTGCAGGCAGATCCCCAGTAGGGGGTGTGCAGGAGGCAGCTGATCGATGTTTCTCGCTCATCGATGTTTCTAACTCTCTATCCCTCTTCCTTCCTCTCTGTAAAAAATCAATAAAATATATTTTTAAAAAATATTTATGTGCATATAGACACTTGCAATTTTTCACCAAATCAACACCATTTCCCCAAATCTTGTATGTAAAATTTAATGTACCCAAACTATTATTGTTTTCCTTTGAAGCTTTTGCCCTTCTCCGAACCATTTTTCTCACGGCTGTGTGTCTTATAGTCCTCTCATTTCTTTTTACCTAGAGCCCACATAGCTCCTGATTCGAGTCGGCTTCATGAGATCATGTACTCTTTTCTGCAAAGCTCGTCTGTCCACAGTTTTGCTCCTGAGCCTAACTACCTGCACAGCCTTATCCTCTGGCCCTTGCCACCTCTTTTCCCCACACCCTTCTAAGGGGAGCTTTCCCATAGATGGTAGAATAACAGTGATCAAAAACACGGCCACCGGATCCCAACGGATCGGTTTCAAAGCCTGTTCTGAGCCAGTTAACTCTGTGCCTCTATACACCCAACGGATCGGTTTCAAAGCCTGTTCTGAGCCAGTTGTTAACTCTGTGCCTCTATACCGTGGCAACAATTATTCTGGGTTGTTGCAAAGATTCACTGAGTTAACATGTGAATGCCCTTAAAGTGGTACCTGGCACGTAATAATAATTGTTAGCTATTAGCAATGTGCCTTTAACCGATTGTTTTAATTAACAGCCGACATCATCTCTGATTTCTCATAGTTCTGTGATCACTGCCGTCAACTATCTATTTCTATTTTAGAAAGAGACACGTAAGACACTGTTCCCAACAGCTTCCCATCATTCCTCTGCTTGGCCCCATGTCTGATTTTCGGCTTGCCCTTTCCAATTTGGACTTAAGCAGGGAGTTAAGCTGAGAAGATAACACCATCTCTACCTTGCAGAGTAAATATGACACAAACCTAATCAGTAGCACAAAACTTATCCCCATCTCAGTTGATGGGAAAGGAAAGCTCTGCCTTTTCTTACAGAATGTGTGCTACAGAAATTGCCAGAGGCTGTAACTTCCAACTCCAGGCAATGCAAGGCGAAACATTGCTGGAGGATATGCATTCCACTTACCTTTTCTAGATGCTCTTCAATCTCCTTGGATAAAATAATAGTTATATACCTGGCCCACTGTTTAGCCACATGGCACCCATGGGGTTCCCTCTTTAGAGTACCCGCCTCTTGGCCATCCTCCCACAATTCCCTGCTCAAATGGACCCAAGCCTGCGGCCCATGCCTACTCTGGCCTCTGCTGGGTTGTCCTTCAGAGCGGAGCTCATCACTGCTGCAGGCAGCCTCGGGGTGTCTGCTAGGGGTGGGGAAAAACTTGGGATGTGAACTGGGGTGTCCACAGGCATAAGCATGAGCCCTGAGTGTGGGAGGAAGCCAGTGGGACCAGGAGGATGGGCTGCGTGCCTGGGATGTTTAACACTTGGCCCAAGTCCCAACAGTGTTAGAGCCAGCCTTTATGGCCCCTCCCCACCCCCCACCTCAGCTCTTGGACAGACTTTAATTTCCTGGATCCCAATGCTGAGTCGTGGGCACACCATGGAGGCAGTGTCAGAGCCAGCCCTAGACACGCCACACTGGCTCCTGGGGTCCCCACACTTGTCCTCAGGGTGAGGACCAGGGTCTCTATTTCTTCTGAAGGATGCATTTCTCTTCTGGTCACTGTAAATGTTGTATCGCCTCTGGCCATGTCTCCGTTTTGATTTGTTGCTAGGACGTTCCGAGCTCCCTCACGATTTCCCAACCTCATGGCAGGCGTGCTGTGCTAACCCCAGGCCTTATCTTATTTTTCCTGCTCTCATTTTCCCTTTGCTCAAGTACTGTTTACAAAAGCTTGGTGTAGTGTATATATTTTTGTAAACCACCTGATATCCTGTTTGGACAGGGGGGATAGAAAACAAAAAGAGAAAGGAAGAGAAAAAGATGTCATCAGCCCTACGATGGCCTGGGAGCCCCCAGCACACACCCTCTTCACCCTCTTCACTCGGTGTTTTCAGAATCAAAAATACCAGTTAGCGGGGCTGTGGGGGCGAGCATGCTCGGCACTGGCTTGGGGACAGAAAAACAAATGCTTTATGTCTGAGTTTCCTGCAAGCTCCTGGACTGATGCAAATCAGCACACATTAATCGCTCATCTTCCACGTCCCCATGTAGCTCAAGGGTGTCCCAGGGAGCCCAGAGGTCACCCACACTAACCGACATGGCCCCAGCCACTCCCACGTTCCATGGTAGGTCCGTAGCTGGATTCCGGGGCCCTGGTGGCCTCCCCAGTACAGTCTATGAATTTGATCCTCAGCTCCGCCATGCAGAGCTCTGCTGGGAATCAGACCTCAGTGGCCTGGACATGCAGTGACAACTCTGGAACGGGGACAGTCACAAAAACAAGGTCAAAGGGCCCAGGACGCTTCGGGAGGGAGGTGGTGTGGGAAGGCCAGGCCAAGCAGCTGCCTCTTGAACATCTCAACACAGACACAGCTGTGAAACAACCACATTTTGCTTTATTAGGCGTTCCATAGTAATATAACACAGAGTTCTTAAGGAATAATAAACACGAGACTTATTTGTTTGTTTTTTAACCATAATTATTTTGTCATTAAGACAGTGGTTACAAAAAAAAAGGTACTCTTCTGGCTACACACGATGATGAGCTTTAGCACTGAAAGTTCCTCCTCATGGGTCACAATCACAATTCCAAGGATTAAGAACCATCTATTATGAAATCCTACACTGTTTCAGAGCATCAAGTCACTGCAGTTATTCAGATCTGAGACACTGTCGATTTATGTTAGCATTTACACATGACATTCATCTAACAGACACACAAAGCAAGCCAACAGGTACACATGCTTACACAGCCTGCGGGAATCTCCAGGTTTCAAGCGGTTTTAAGGAAACAATCCAAAGAACCAAAATGACCAGGACCTGGTACAGGAAAGACAGGAAGACTCAAGTGAACACTGAAGAGCTGCGAGTGTTTCTTAGAATTGAAACAAAAAATACTTTTTCCAACTGGTTCAAATTTCTTCTAAGTGAAGGTGAGAAAAAAAGCAAATATATTAAGTTAACCAATTATTCTTTAAAAGTGCAATTTCCTTTTCAAATAACAAATAAACAACAACAGTAATAAAAAATACACCCCAACCATAACCCCAAAGGCAAAATGTGTGGAGAGACAAGTGGAATGACGGGATGACCTACTTTTGTGTGTGAAAGCAGCTGGGTTTTATGAAAGCCTGCAGACAGACCGCACTTAGGAGAACCTGTACACACGCTTGGAAGGACATGCAACACAAATCAGCAAAGACAGGGACGGGCACAAAGGCAGCGAGTGAGAGGGTCACTGAGACAGAGAGGGAAGATGCTGACCCAGGTCACCTTCGGTCTCTACGGGCCTCATGTTCGATGTGTAAGTTTCTCCACAAGCAGCTCTGATGTGACATCGCACTCACTAAACAGATGTTTCCTTTTGCAAAGTAAAATGGGCTTTAAGGCCAATTTCCCAAGAATTTTCAGAGCTTAAAAGGCCTCCCTGTATTGCATGATGTCTTTTGAAATAATGGGAAAAGAAAAAAAGGTTTTCCCCCAAAGTGAGAAGCCCCATTGTGTTCAGGAACCCCAAGACACTTAGCCAGGAAACAGCAGGCTCTTGGGGCCACTCCCACTAGCTCAACAATGCTGAGCTGGTGGTTGGCCTGAGGGACCGGTTGGCTCACTCGGGTTTGGGGCTCACTTTACAGATTTGATTATGTCTAACCAGGTAGCACTGCCTGGAGGAAAAACTCGCACGTCCTGTAGCCTCGACTTCTGCCACATCTCGGCACTGCTTCAGGGTCTATTCTGGGCCCAGGTATGCCCGTGAGGGTGGGCACCTCGGCCCTTCCCTGCACCTGGGAGGGTCTCAGACCCACATGCATATCCTCATGGTGATGGGTGGGTAGCACCAGTCTTACAGGGACAAGGACAGCAGATTACTATGGTTGTGATGACAAAGCTCACACCCTCCCAGGCAGGTTCTTATGACCACAGTAGAATGGTAGACCTGGTCATTTGAAGAGGCAGTGGGGAAGGCGAGAAACCAGTGTCTCAGAGACAAGGGCTGGAAGAAACACAAAGAAAGAGAGAGGCATGAAACGAATTAAATCCTCACTTCCCAGCACTCGTGCCCTTATGTAATCCTCTTCCCTTAATTGTGGGCTGGAGTAATGACGACCTTCTAACCAACCAGAATATGCTAAACTAGAGAGAGAGAGAGAGAGAGAGAGAGAGAGAGAGAAGAGGTGAACCGAGGAAAAGATTTAATCTGCAGCAAAATCTAAGCCAAAAAGAAAACCTGCCCTAAAAGCAGTCAGCCCAGAAGACTACAGAATGGTGATGTGGACATTCTGGAACCTCAGGAGGGACACGACGAGTTTGCCGACCACCCTGAATCAGCGTGATGGTTACACAATTGCATCATTAGGATGTCCAGTTCAAACCCCTTGTATTAGTATTGTTAGGCTTTTCTAATTTAGTATTAAAAAAAAATCTCCCCCTCCCCCACCCACCCCTTCCCAGCCCCATAACGAAAACTTTTTTTTTTTTAATTTAAAAAGAAAAAGGCAGCTCTGGGCAATTCACTTTATCTTCCCTCCCAATGAAAAGGAAGATGATAAATACAACAGAGGTTGGAGATGAGAAACACCCTCATGGTGATTTGCTCTGTTTCGCATGTCTGAGTGTTGGATGCAGTCCCCTGTACGGGGCTGGTGGGTAGACGTGGTGTGATGTTTGTAGATGTGTAGAGAAGTGGGTGAGCAAAGTCAGTGACTCCGGGTGAGGGACGGAGTGTGAGGCCCAAGAGGGAGCCCCGTGAACTGGCTGCCCCACAGTAACTATCACAGGCTCTTTAAAAAAAAAAAAAAAGGGAAGGAAGGAAGTCTCAGAATGTCCTCAGGTGTCCCATCCCCCAACCCCTATCCCCCAGTGGAATGGGCCCTGGAACTCTAGCCCAGGCTGGTGATGTTGGCACGGCCACCAGGGGGCGCCACGATGCGCTGGGTGGTGCGACGGGGGATGTTGTCGTCAATCTGAGCACCTGGAGAGGAAAGAGGGGTGAGGGTCAAAAGCAGAGTTACAGGAGTTCCTGCTCTAAGGGCCGGACCCATTCTTTGTCCTCTCAACACTCCCTGGAAGTTTAAACTACCAAGAAGTGATGGGCTTAAGGTGGCCAAAGACTCTGACGGTATAAAGCAGTACCTGCAGAAGCCAGTTGGATCCATCACTTGAAAAAGTAAAGCTACATATAAAGGAACACTCCATTCCAGGCTGTCTCCTGACTCGTTTCATCCTGCCCCTACTCTGGTAGTCAGTTTGAGTGCAGCTTTTCTGAAGGCACAGCCCTCTGGCGTTATGTTCCCCTAACACTACTCACCTCACTGTCTAATATGATGGTTCCTTATATTAATGGCCTGGTGACATAAGACAGCACAACACCATTAGCCCATTTTAATTTATGACAAAACTAAGGTTCGTTATTATTAAATCTTTCGAAAATGGGTAATCTGTATATGGCATATATGGCAATGTTCTAAAAACTAATATATCTGACCCCCCCCCCAAAAAAAAAAGGATCTAATTAACTGTTTAACACACCATAGAAATCTGGATACATATTTGTGGTTCAGAAGGCTAGAAAAGTGGAAGGGTTCTAGTTATGGGCCAAATGAAGGACTGGAAGGAAATTTCAAGTGTAGAAGCTCTAAAATCTTGACCCCTTCCTCTCATCATCCCTAATATCACATATTTTATTCAAGCAAATAGCTAACAATTCTCAAATGGCTCTATTCTGAGCTCTTATTAATTTATTTAATCCTCACAACAACTCCATACGGTAGCTACTACTATTATACCCATTCTGTAGATGAGGAGACTGAGGCACAGCTACCAAGCATCTGGACTATGAAGTTAAGCTGCTGAAACTCCATAAGCTGAACTATACAATATACAGTTGACCCTTAAACAATGCAGGGGACAGGAGCGCCAACCACCTGTGCAGTCAAAACTCTGTGTATAATTCTGACTCCCTCAAAACTTAATTACAATGGGCTCTTCGCATCTGTAGATTCAACCAAACATGGACCAAAAACACTATTTTAGATTTCTATCTGGGAATCTGCAAATGCAAAAATATTGTTTTTGATCCACATCTGGTTGAACTGTATTTATTGGAAAAAATCCACATATAAGTGGACCTGCACAGTTCAAACCCATTGTTCAAGAGTCAATTGTACTGCATATTAGGGAAGAAGAGAAATCCTGAAATACCACCACATCTTTTTCTAGGATGGCCATAATACAGAGAAAAAAATGTCCTATTAATATATTGGGTATTGCACACAGTGTACACATCATGCCATTATATGTGACACAAACTGATGTCAGGGCTCCGAAACCCACTGGCCACTGGCTGTGAATGACATCTCTGGTGATATCAGTATTTCCCACTTTGGGGAAAATGGGAATACCATTCATTTCTGCTTCTTCTCCTTCTACAAAAGTGATTCCAGACTCACCAGCCCCCTGCAGAACTGGGCCCTCCCAAACCATAACCATACCAGACAAGCTGAATCCAGACTGGTGCAGGTTCCTGACAGGTGGGGCCTGCTGCTTGGCCGGAGACGTCTTAGCCGACGAGGCTGGAGTGACTGTCTTGGGTGTCACAGACACCTCGCACACAGGCCCATCGTACAGGCCACGGGGAACCCCTCTCAGCTCCGCCAGCTGAAAAACACAGGCACCGCCCCCCGATTCAGGCCGCATTCGGAGGATGCCTCCCTGGCCACCCTCCGATGTGGAAGAGGAGAGGCTAGAACAGAGGTCGGTGAGATTTAGAGATGGGGGCGCTCCTTATGGAGGGCAGGGCAGGGACAGATGTCAGCATGGGGCAGCTCCAGGACTCCAGGCTAGTGATCCTCCTAGGTGGGTCATGGGTAACTGGTTACTCTATAAAAATTAACATTTTTTACCATTTTCCCCAAGACACTTCCACTTAAACCTATAGAATTTCCAAATATATTGTGAAAGGATCTGTTTTGATGGTCAAGACCTGGCCCAAACTTTCTTTCCAATCTCACTCTCCCTTTAATACCCTTCCAACTCCATTGACCCCAGCCTGACACCTCCCTGCCCAGTGCTGTAGACTACTCTCCATGCCCTGAATACACCATACGTTTTCCGTACTCATAACATTCTCTCTACATATTCCCGTGTCTCCCTTCTTTGACTTGCCAATCTCCCACTTAACCTCCAAGACCCAACTCAGAATGCCCTCTTGCCATGACACTTTCCCCCCTGACTCCACAGCAGTGGCTCCTGCCCCGGAACCCTATCACAGCACATGTCAGTCTCACTTCATTCTGGCTGGCTGTGGACACGGCTGACTCCTCCGCTGGTATTCTCAAGTCCAGGAATTAAAAAAAGTTTCCTTTTTCTCTGAATCCTTCGTACTCATCTTGATATTCTGACTCAAAGTGCTTAGAAGGGTTTATGAAACTGAATGTAATCCATGACAAAACAATCATATGCTCCAAGCTACTCACCCTGCTCCTTGCCTTGATACGCTTATAAACAAAATCAGGGAAGGGCTTCCGGGGGATGTAGCGCCCAGAGCCTTCGGTGACATGAAGGGTGCCGTCTTCCAGGACAATCTTCCCCTGGCTGATGACCACCAGCGGAGAGCCACGGCACTCCATGCCTTCAAAGATGTTGTACTCGAGAGCCTGCAGGAAGAGGGCACAGGACACTTAGATACGCCTGCCACCCTGGCTAGATTTCACCAGGTGGGCGGCACCCACTGCCCCACATCACATGGACAAAAGAAAGACCCAGAGCTGGAGTCCCTGCCCCGCGGACCACACCAGCAGGCATTAATCTCCAAGTCTTAATTTCTCTGCCTAGAACATGGAATCATCTCTTCCCACCAAAAAAGCATGAGGACTTATAAATGCTACAAAACATAAGAGAAGGATTCCACGCATTAGCAGCGCCGTTGTTCTCACTAACTGAAGCTCCAATCCGGTTGAAAGCAGAGGCCTTCCGTGACTGAGTTCTAAAGTTAACCTTGGAGTGGCCATCCTGGGCTAGGGTTTCCCGCTGGTGAGCCTGGCTCTCCATACTGTTAGCGATGTGGTGAAGCTGCAGTCCCTAAATGAAAGCACTGGGGTAATTTAAGGGGCTTGCCTTCATAAGATGTTTGAGGTTTAGTTCATTTCCCAAACATGCAGCAATCCAAGCTTTTCAGGGTGAAAGAGTGGCGTGTCTGTGTGCCCTCTTGGAAAACATGCTGGAAGCAAGGCAACAGGAACCAGGGGCACTGTGCTCCCCACAAAAACTCCACTTTCAGTCTCATCCCGCAGCTTCGTGCAGCAATCCAAGCTTTTCAGGGTGAAAGAGTGGCGTATTTGTGTGCCCTCTTGGAAAACATGCTGGAACTGTCAGTCTTATCCCGCAGCTTCAGCTCACCCAGGGCCACCCCGACTCCCGGAGGCCTCCTGCTCCTTTCTGCCTGCCCTGTCACAGGCACCAATGCCTGCGCTGAGCCCAGGAATGGAGCATAAATAGGCAGCTCCAACCATACAAAGCCGCTTGGGCTTCTGGGAGAATCCAGACCAGGTTATCAGCACTAAAGGAGTTAGCCTGGGAATGAGCTGTCCCGCTACAGGTCAGCACCTCTGCTGATAAGCATGGAGAAGCCCCGGCTGGCTCCTTAGCTCACATTCGGTGTCAAAATGTAGTGGTGCTGGCCCAGCCAGTGTGGCTCAGTGGTTGAGCATTGACTCATTAGCCAGGATGTCATAGTTCAATTCCCAATCAGGGCACATGCCCAGGTTGCTGGCTCAATCCGTAGTAGGGGGTATGTGGAAGGCAGCTGATCAATGAGTCTCTCTCATCAGTGATGTTTCGCTCGCTCTCTCTCTCTCTCTCTCTCTCTCCCCCTCTCTCTTCCTCTCTGAAATCAATAAAAACATTTTTTTTAAATGCAGCAGTGCTGACTGAGAACAGCAATGAGGGAGAGTCAGTACTGCTCTGAGGCTCCGAGGACTCATGTGGAAACAACCGAAGGAACAAGGCAGAGAGCATCTCGGAGGAGGGACCCAAGTGTGTCCCCAAGTCTTTCGTCGACTCTAAGACTCTTCCCTGAAGTCAGAATGTGTCTCACAGCAGGTGGATTCCTCTCTGAAATCAATAAAAACATTTTTTTTAAAATGCAGCAGTGCTGACTGAGAACAGCAACGACAACGACGGAGAGTCAGTACTGCCCTGAGGCTCCGAGGACTCACGTGGAAACAACCGAAGGAACGAGGCAGAGAGCATCTTGGAGGAGGGACCCAAGTGTGTCCCCAAGACTCTTCCCTGAAGTCAGAATGTGTCTCACAGCAGGTGGACCTGCACAGTCAGTTGCTGTCAGTGGAGACTGAACCGAGTGCTTCCAGGGGGACCTGGGTTTGCTTTTCCCTCTGGCCTAGAGGACAACCACATGGAATCCACTGGATATTAAATTCCCAGCTTCAGGTTCTTCTGGACCCTACAGGCAGCAGGAACTCAGACCTCTAACTTGCATAAGTACTGGCATTCGGGTCATTCTCTCTGAGGAGGCATTTTGCCATCTCTGTACCCAAAGCCAAAGTCAAGGCTCACAGGCATTTGCCATCATATCCTGCGAGGCAGATGCCCCTCTCACTTACCCTACGCTGAGCACAAGCTGGTCCTCGGTGGCACAGCGTATTTTTATAGGGTCTGCCTCACCTTGACTGTGATGTGCCCCGATGGTGGCACATAAACTAATGGAACATCTGAGCACCGATGGCATTCAGATGTGGTGAGATGCAGAAGCTGTGTGACCATGGGCAGCTCACTCAGCCCTGCCACTCTCAAAGGCTTGGTGACGAATGCAACACAAAAAGCATCCTACGTGTGCAGATCCCTGAGAGGATTCTGTCAGCTCTGAAATGGCCTTGGAAAGGGTGACATCCTTTAAGGGCTGGATCAAGCTCCCTCTCTGTCTTGTTACTCCACAGCTAACTGTCTATATTCTCACAGACTCCCCTGCGCCCTACTGGAGCAATGGAGACAACCTTGGACCCGGTGCCATCTGCCTTGGGTTCACATCCCGGGCCGCTATTTGCCACTTGTGTGACTTAGGACAAGTCCCTTATACTCCTCTGATCCACAGCTTCCTCATCTACAAAAGGCCCACTTTGCAGGAATGGTGCTAGGATCGCAAGAAATAGAAAAACAAGAGCAGCTAGCATACTCCCTGACACAAAGCTGGCATGTAGAGAACATTCCCTCATCCACTGTCTGGTTTTTCATTGCTCTGTCCCAACAAGATCGCAGGCCCTTTAGTGCCGCCGACATCGTAAGACACATGTATCGAGTTTAACTGCATGTGAAGACTGAGCATAACCCGCTGCAAGAGCTTTGGGCCACCTCCCGTTCTGAGAAGATGGAGGAACCAGCCCCACAACCCTAAGTGACTAAAGAATCAACAAGTCAGTGGTCAGATCACAGTCCTCTGGGTGTTCAGAGCCCACCCTCTGTCAACCATGAGGCGGTCCGGCTTGATCTCTCCCCAGTGTAGATGTGTTTAACCTCCATCCACAGGGGCCCCTAAATTACTCATCTGGCTGGATGCCTGGAAGATCCAAGCAGGCTGTCAATAATAGTTATCTAAATGCTCCAAATTAACGCTAATCAGCGCTGTGGTAGGAAACACTGTCACATGGGACAGCCTCCTGTCTGTATTCTCCCAAATGACGGATGCTGCACAGGCGTGCTTAGTGTGGGCTCTTTAAAACAAGTGAGGATGAAAAAGAGGCACTTCTGGAAGTCAGCATGTCTTAGATGAGGTTGCCTGGCGGTAAAGCCAGGGCAGTGCTATCACCCTCGAAAGGTTCAGGTGGAATGCCTGGAGGGAGAACCTGTCTTCTCAAATCATCGCTCCTTCACCCAGGTTAAGGGCGCCAAATGCAAGCTCCCTAGCAAGGTCGTCTGCAGTTTAAATAATGAGTTCAGCTCCGCCTTCGCAGGAAGCACCTCTGGGGAAGGACTGCAGGGAGGGGAAGCTTCTTCTGCACTGAACCCTAACCCGGAGGCTGCATACGCAGTCTGGCAGGGAAGCGCGCTGGACAATTCTGGGTTCTAATTCTGGCTCTGCCGCAAAATAGCTATGTAACATTAGACTTAAGCTCTCTGAGCCTCCGTTTATTTATCTTCCCAATCGGGATAATAATACCATCCCTTTACTGAAAAGGCCAAATGAAAGAGTAAATGGGAAGGAATATGATGTTAACTGCATAGGAATATGGGGGTTCACTGGGCAGGATCCGCTACCTGTAAAGAAGCCACACTGGACCCCAAGAGGTTGTGATTAGGTTACAAGTCGGTGTGGCTGTGAAGCTATGCTGCAAAGCTAAGCCAGCCAGTGAGAAAGGAGGATGAAAGTCAACTACAAATAAATACCAAGGGCGGAGCAGCCTTCCCGGAAGGCACCCACCATCCCAGCACCCACAGGTGCCGGTCGAGGCTAGTGAGCACCACACCTCAAACCCCTCTGCTCAAATGGGAGAGGACTGGGGTGCAGCAAAGGGCCAGGGCTGTCCTGGAGAAATGCCAGACGCCCACCCCTGAGCTGTGGTGGTACCTGGGAAATGAGTCAGGCTAGCTGGGGTGGGCAGTCTAGAATCAGATTCCCTACTGAGCCATCTTTCAATTCAGAACTTTAATTCACTTCCAGATTCATGAGTTTCTGACAAAACACTTCTGTCCTGTGTCCATTTCTTTTCCAAAGCTCCCTTTGCCCATACTCTTTCAATGTTATATCTATACAGATACATCGATATATCTATACAGACACATACACACGAAACTTTTTTTGTAAAAAACCAGTGGTATCTAACACCTCTGCCTAAGGCCCCTGACCTGACTCACAGGACATCCAGAGACCTCATCTAAATCCCACACTCGCAACGGAGGAGCTTGAGACGTGACATGAGTTGCTTGCCCAAGGTCCCATTAACAAGTCAGGGCACCGCCAAACTCTGCAGTCTGGACTAAGAGACAAGAGACACTCCAGGGCCTTGGCCGGGTAGCTCAGTTGGTTAGAGCGTTGTCCCAATATGCCAAGGTTGCAGATTCAATCCCCGGTCAGGGCACATACAAGAATCAACAAATGAATGCATAGATAAGTGGAATAACAAATCTCTCTCTCTCTCTCTCTCTCTCTCTCTCTCTCTCTCATCAATAAATGAATTTTAAAAATTAAAAAAGTGACACCCCAAAGTCCAGATTCTAAAATCTTATCAGAATGGCTGCAGGGAGTATTTCTTCTATTTGGAAAGAAGTCAAAGTCAATTAGTTCCTTGAGGACAATAAGAGCCTCTGTCATTTATGTTTCTGTAGGGCAACACTGACATGAGAAAACAATGGCTTAAAAGAATAGACATGCCCAGTGGGCACCTCAGGAGTGTTTATTTAGGTCCCCTGCACCAAGTGCCGCCATGGGAGGTGCTGCACCAAACTAGAAAAACGGAATGGTGTCTGACTCCTAGAAGCTCCTAATGTCCTGCATGACTGGAGGCTCTGAAGGTCTGTAAGTAGAGACTCTATCTGTAAGAGAGGCTGTGGTACTCCAAAATGATAAGAGTAACTTACCGTCAGTCTTTTTGACCTCACTAAAGAAAAAAAAATTTTTTTATCAACAAAATGCAAATTATAATATATCCCAGGGAACGTTCATTCCTATCACAGTGAGTTCTCTCCTGGGACTCTCCATGCCTCTGTCTCTTTCTGTGACTGTGATCTGTTTGGATTGGTTGCACACAGTGAACAGGCCTTACACTGTTGTGGGTCTTGGCAGAGATGGTTTTAACACTGTCGGGGTCCCAGATGACCAGGTCAGCATCAGATCCCACAGCAATGCGGCCTTTCCGGGGGTAAAGGTTGAAGACTTTGGCTGCGTTGGTGCTGGTCACGGCCACAAACTGGTTCTCATCCATCTTCCCAGTGACCTGCAGAGTAGAATACACACACACACACACACACACACACACAGACACACACACACCAAAAACAGGTCAAGAGGTTGAAGGGTGGACCGCGACTCAGCAATAAAAGTGAACACACTTTTGATACATACGACAACTTGGATGTTAAGGGCATTATGCTGAGTGAAACAACCAATCTCAAAAGGTCACATACAGTATGATTTCATTTATATACACATTCTTAAAATAACTAAGTTACAGAGAAGGAGAACAGAATAGGAGTGATGAGGGTAGGGATGGGTGTGACTATACATGGGCAGAGTGAAGGGGCTCCTTGTGGTGACAGGGGACATCTGTACCTTGTTTGCAGTGATGGTCACATGAATCTCCATAGGACAAAAGGACACACACACACACACACACACACACACACACACACACACGGCACCATCGTTGATCGCTGGGCTTTGATATCTTACTATAATTATGTGAGATGCAGCTATCGGGGGAAACGGGAGGAGGGTACACAGGCCCTCTCTGTCTTCTCTTTGCAACTTCCTCTGAATATAATTATTTCAAAATGAAAAGTTAAAAAAAAAAGTTGACGGGGATACAAACGCCTCTTGAGGAAACATCATTAGACTTGAGTGGCTGTCCTTTTCAAAGATACGGCGCAGACCTAGGCTTCTAGTCTAGCCAATCTAGAGGTCTCAGCCCCATGTCTGGGTTTCTGCAGCCAATGACATTTCCTCATGTCCTTCCTGCACTTTCTCATCTCTACCACGTGTGCTCTATGTCCTTTCAAAAGCAGAATTTGAGGACGTGCCTGCATAGAAAACTACCCTAAAGTAGTAGAAAACTGGGCAAAGGAAATGAGCTGGTATTAAGAGGAAGAGAAAAATATCAATGGTCCATAAGCATATGAAAACATACTAACTCCAATTAGTAACTGAAGGGATGGAATGAAAGACAAAATTCACCCATCAAATTAGCCACATTTTGGGGGTTTTGATTATAACACCAATGAGGACCAGGTGGAAGAGACTGAGGGATGTCACACAATGCTGGTGGCACACAAATGGATGCAATCTTCCTGGAAGTAACTTTGGCAATATATATAACAAAAGCCCAAAAAATATACATATCCTTTGACTCAGCAATGCCACCTCTAGAAATTTCTCCCAGAAGCATAATAAAAGATGTGTCCAAGGATAGTCATCCCAGTAACAAAACCAGGTTCCCTATGGGAAGCTGAGCACTGGATCAGTCCAGTGGACGGCCCGAGAGGCTGCCCATTTCTTCAGTGGGGTGGGAGGTGGTTGTTTTGTTAAGGTACAATTCAATGACATACCCAGATGCAATTGTACAACTCGATTTCACTGTTCATATGTATCACCAATAAGGAAAATATTGCTTGGTGATGGTAAGACATAAAAGTACATGACAGCCCAGCCAATGTGGCTCAGCGGTTAAGCATTGACCCACGAACCAAGAGGTCACTAGTTCAATTCCCAGTCAAGATACACGCCCAGGTTGCAGGCTTGATCCCCAGTAGGGGGCATGCAGGAGGCAGCCGATCGATGGTTCTCTCTCATGGATGCTTCTATCTCTCTTATCCCTCTCCCCTCCTCTCTCTCTAAAAAATTCAATAAAAACATATTTTTTTAAAAAAAAAAAGTGCTCTGAGGCTTTCCTAACTCAATTCTTTGGATTCTGTATGAGAATAATAAATTTTCCCTGCAGGTGTAACTTCTCAGTCACAGCAGCAAACTATTTCCACTTAAAGTGTATATCCAATTTCTCAACTTATAAACATGCAATTAAAAATCACTTTCAAGACCACTTATGCAGTTACCACCAAACTACTGTCAAAACAGAAATAAACTTTTCCTGCATTAAAAAAAATCAGAAACAACATAAATGCTCAAAGAACATAAAGAATAAAAACAAGTTTTTCAGGTATATTTCAGAATGTGGAGAACTTTTCATGATGTATTGTCTTAATAAAACAGGCCGTGGTGTTTACACACTCACACACACACATATCATATACACACATGTGCACTCTTGCACTGACAAAAAATGGAAAGACATTTGGCCAACATATTAATTGTCATTAAATCTGAAAGATGGTGTCATGAGTAGTTTTTATTCACTTCCATTCTTTCTGGAACAAGGATATATTGTTTGCATAATTTAAAAAATTCGTTAGGAAACAAAACCTGTGCTGTTGTTATGTTTTAAAGCACTGAAAATGCAAAAGTCCCAAGAGTATGCTCAAATGTCAGAGTATGCTCAAAGCAGGCCCGCCACCAGCCTGTAGTTGTCATGGGTAGAAATGCTGAGCCCAAAGAGCCCTAAAAACACTTTTAAGGAGATGGAGTCCATTTCCAAGAATAGAAGGTTAACTGAGAAAGTCACCAGGTCTCTAAGGAAGCTTTTTCCTGACTAATCACAAAAGAGTCACATTTTAAAGACTGTGGGGTGTTGTTTTTTTTAGTCTCCACTGATCACAAATGATAATGATAAAAAATGTATATAAAATATTTAGAAGGAAATGAACTATATAAGGAGAGATCTTGGATTCCCAAACCTAAGAAACATTGTCATACAAATACCAGCTTCTAGAATTTTCTCAACTGCCATTGCAAGGCTGACATGAGACCGATGGCCCTCAGATGAGGAGGCCGGAGAAAGCTGGGGCCAGCCCGGGAGGGAGGCCACTGCTCCTTACCACAGCCTTATCCCAGACGACGGACATCCGCTCCTCAGTGCCATTGGTGCCTTCGGGGATCAGGGTGAAGTTGTCCTTTCCGACCGCCTTCTGGGCAGTGTTGAAAGTACAATGGGCACTGCCAGTGACCTGGAGATCTCCACTGGAAGGGAAACAGATGACACCTATTTGTAAGGCATCTTAGGGTGTCACCGCACCACAGTGGAATCCTTTGGATATCGCATTCACCCCTGTCGGTTGGCCCACGTTTTTATTCTGAATTCCCCTCCCCAGAATGGTGTCAAAGTGACAATCCCCAGTTCCCGTTTAGCCAACTGAGTTTGGAGAACATGGGTCTGTCTGCAAGCCTTCTTTTGCCCACCATGCTGTAACCCACCAGGTCAGGTTGGTCTGAGCGAAGACTGAGAATGGAAAGTGTGAACAAGTCGCCAAGACTCACCAGGACAGCAAGGAGTTCAGAAAGTCCGGAGTGGTCGGGTCGGGGCTCAGGGGTGGGGAGGTGACAAAAGCAGCGGCCTTGGCCCAGTTCTTGCTCCAGTAGTGGGAGCCATCAGTTCCCAGGCTGGCGGTGACGGGCTCGCCGTACACCACGGTTCCTGACAAAGAGAACAAAGCTGAATACCATGCAATGAGGGAGAAAGGAAACCAGCCTTGTTGGGAGTAGCCACCTGCCCAGCAGCATGTCAAGGACTCTCACCATCCCTTCCGAGAAGGTGCCAGCCGCATCTCACAGGTGAGGACACAGATACCTGAGGCCAAATACCTCATCCACCAAAGGCACCACCTCAATGTGTGTTCCCTCAGAGTTCACCTTGGGACCTTGCTCTTCTAACTCAACACACTCCATAGGTGATCCCAAACGTTCCACCTCCTACACTGCTCATTCCCAAATCATTAACACTCTCAGACTGCATTCAAGCATCCAGGCCCAAGTGCTGTCTAGACTCCTATTTTTGGGTGATCCATAGCATCTCAAACTTAACCTTACTGCTCACCAAATACTCCCCCTACTCTCCCAACACTTCCCAGCCCCCCTCACAGTGTCTAGTTCTAGCTAATGAGCTGAGAGAGGGGATTAGATGTTATACCAAGGAGCTGAAGCATTTGAGAGCAAACACAGATCTGCCCAAGAGACAGTGTGGCTCCCTGAGTACCACCTGAAGGGAACTGCCGTTAGCACCCCGAGTCACAGCTGGCTTTGTAAGAGAAACAAAGGACTTTGCAGTACATACTGCGAAATACACTGTAAAGAAAGACTGTCAGTTCCCCCATGCCCAAATCATGTCCTTCTCTGTCCATTCATGGGCAAGCCAGACAGGTGGGGATCATTTACATCATAGAATGCCAATGCTTCAATGGCTGAGACCCATCCTTTCCTCCACTGCGTGTCCCATCCCTCAGCTCATTCTCCCCCAGCTCATTCCAGCAGAGCCTCCCGATCAGAGTTTAGATTTACTTTTGCTTTCCTAACCTTCTTCCCCAGCTCTCCATCCCTTCTCCATGACATTCCCGGAGTGATCTCCCTAAGATTGTCTTCCCAGGCCACTCCCTTCAAGAAGTCCTTCGAGGAGCATTTGCCTTCAAGCACAAAAACAAACTCCTCGAACTCCTCGCTGCCACATCTGATGCAAGCCATTGTCCGGCGGCCTAACAAAGCTTATCTCCCCATTCACGTCATCGGAAACTCAATCCAGTCTCCACTCCAGTACTCCAATAACCACCCATTTTGAATTTTTGGATTCTCCCTAGATGGAGATAACGAACACAACTCTGCCTGCACATAGGAGGCTGAACTCAGTGTGTGTTAGGGTGATCTTTTACTAATGAAAGGCATCGGAGCTGAAATTTGATGCCAGGCCAGCCTTCCCACCTCCAGGAATCCCCTCTCCTCACCTCCTCCTGCCACAGGGCTACCCCACCCCCACAGCGGTCCTTCCAGCCCTTCCTCATTCCCCAAACACAGGGTCCTCAGGGCCAAACACTTCTCAGTCAGGAATGTGTCTCCTTCCTCTCCACAGCCTTCCCAAGGCCTTACCTCCGGATAACTAAACCACATGCCCTCTATGCCGCAGCGGCCACTCTGAGCTGACTCCTCCCAGCTGTGCCCTCCAGCCTCAGGAATTTCATAAAGGAGTCCCTGTTCAGCCAGCGGCGTCAGAGGCCACGGCGGGCAGCTCTCTAGGGGAAATCGGTAACAATCCTGAAGCAGGAGGGAGGGCTCCACACCCGGGAAGCCTCACCCAGAAGGAAGCCCCGGAGCCAACGCTCAGAATCCCCTGGCAGGTCTCCTGGGTGCCGGACCTTCTCAAAGCCTCTCAGGCAGAATTCGGTCTGAGGAGCCAGCTGGATGTAAACAGCTCCAGCTCATTCCAAAGTAGAAAAACTCCGCACACCGCGAAGGCCCTGGCTGCCACCAAGTCCATTTATGAGATGCAAACGGCTGAGCAGGACCCAGCCACCGGGTTCTCGGGACCTCCGGTCGGGCTCTTCCCCTCCCGGCTCCACGAAGCCAGGCCTGGAGCCCTGCTGGCTATTGCCATAGCACAAGGCAGAGGCTGGCACAGGCATCAGGAAAACAAAGGACTCACACCCTAACGTGTCTGAGTTTTGTTGACATGAAAAAGTTTCAAGAGAGCAGAACCACCTGGAGAAAAAAATCCTGGACCACCATAAAGTTCCCTGATTTTCCCGTAACTTGCTCCTGCTCGTCCTCGGCCTGAATCTGCCCTGCAGTCCTGCTTTGGAAACCTGAGTGCAAGGAGCGGTTGGGTCCTGAACGCATCCTGAATCCCCCTCACATGCGTGCCCTTGACTGCGGCCCTCATCTCAGTCTGTGACATACAACTGCTGGCGGCACGGGGCTGGTGCACAGAACATGCACTCACCATGAAAGAATGAACTCAGCCTTCAACCTCTGGAAAACCCAGAAGTGGGTCAGAGTCCAAGGCCACTGCTGAGCAGCCCTGCCTGAGGCCCAGGCTGAGCCAGGGCTCCTGGGCTGGGGCCAAGCTGAGACGGGGGCACTTAGAGAAGGAGAAAGGCAGCTTGAGGTTCATTTCTGCTTTGTCCTTCCTGTTCAGATTCCAAGGATCCTAAGATGCTGCAGTCTTTTGGTTTATTCCTTTTCTTCAGCCCCTAAGGGCAGGGCAGGGCAGGAGTTAACCCAGCCTGTGGGAGACCCCCACCCCAGGAGGCGTGTGGGCCATGCTGGGGGCTGGGGGCTGCTCCCAGCACCAGGGCGCGCCCCCGTTTGATGCACTGTACCTGAGCGAGCCGTGTGGGAGCTTCTGACCCTCAGGCCACAGACACCACTGAGCTGCCTGCCAGAAACAATCACCACTAATCAGAATAAACCACGATGGGCTCAATTGGCCGATCCGCACTCCTCCACACACTGCTGAGGCCTTCTTGGCGGAGGTCAGACCTTCCGATGTCCTTCTCCAGGGAAAGTCCAAACTGAAGGATGGACGGGACCCTGAGCCAGCAGCTGGCAGGCTCCCCAGGTCAGCCCGGAACTGCAGGGCCCGCGGCTGGTGCTGATTCACAAGGGGCTGGGGCCTGAGAGCATTCATGCAGAGTAAATGGGAGGCTAGGCTGTGACAGCGCCCCCATGGACAAGAAGCAGGGCAAACCCAGAGCAAAAACAATGGAAGACTGAGTACATGTATTTCAACACACAACCACAAAAGCACAGTGAAACACTGACTGGGTCTCTCTGTCTCTCTGTCTCTGTCTCTGTCTCTGTCTCTCTCTCTCTCTCTCTTGTCAGAGCCAGGAGCCAACAGCCGGGCCTACCCATGAGTAATCCCATCAGATTCTGGTAACCAGAGTGGTTCCAGAGGAAGAGAATCAAAGTTCCCTGAATGAGTCTGGGGTTTTGGAATCGCCCCTCTAATCTGATTTGTTTTAAGGGCACTAATGACTCATTTCCACTAGGAAAGAGGACAACAGGGATGTGCAAAATATCCCCACCACAGACACACTTACGATTTATTCTAGGAAGCAACGTTTGGGTTGACCCAGTGTTCAATACCTTAGGACATTTCTGTCAAATGGAGTAATCGTGCTAGACCACGTGGTAAAGAAAGGAGGGGCTCGGGGATGCAAGCTCACAGCCCAAGTGCAGCATCTGTGACCGGGGTTTCTGCCTGCCCTGAGGGCGATGCTCATCTGCAGCAGCCTCCGGCCTCAGACGCTGGAACCTGCACAGACTCCCATCCTGCAGTGGCTGCATTACAGTGCAAACTGCATTCCCAAGGTCTGTGTCTGCTGCTAAGTGAGGGCTTTGTCTGGGAAGGAATGTTTGCCTCCAGACAACCTTGGGGCTCCAGCTGCAACATCAAGTCTTCCCTGAGTCTCCAAGCCCCCAGGCCAGCCTGCAAATTTCATACTTGCCAGTGCCTACAACTGCGGGAGATTCCTTAAGATCTCTCTCTCTCTCTCCTTCCCTTCCTCCCTCCCTCCTTCCTGTTTCTCTGAAGAGCCCTGGCTAACAGATTTCTATGGAATGCACAAGCCAAGTCATGTGCCACTCTTTGGGTCCAAGATTGCCAGGCTGTGATTAGCATGACACTAAGGATCCATCCCCAAGTTGGGGTGGTCCTCCCGGCTCCATCCATGACCACATGCTTCTCATTGTGCCTGCGTCATTCCTATTGACCCGCAGGGCAAAGGAAGCCTTGTCTCGGTTTGGGTTCCCAGGGTTTAATGTCCCTCAGCAACCACCAGATGTTTTGAGCATTTCTGCATCTGGGTGGTGGGGATGGTAAGGAGGAGGCTGGAGAAGGTTGTCTGCTGGCTAAGGTCGGGCACTCACTGCCCACACACTGTCATCCACACGCGGGAGGCATCGCGGCCACACTGGATGTCACACGTGGACAAAATGCAGCCTGAGGGAGCCACTGCAGAGCAGTCCCAGAGGGGCCCTCAGTGGAGAGGGGGCTGGCCCGGAGTCCCAATCCGGGTTCGGTTTCTCATAGGATGAATGAGCTGGGGAGCACGATACTCACTTCCACATTTCAGTTTCTCTTTCATGCTAGGAGCCTATTAAATCGACCAATGTCTAAGTGCTTTTGAAGAGTAAAAATTGCTCAGGGCGGCCTGGTCCTGGCTGTCCCAGTGGACGGCACAGGGGAGGGAGGAGCAGGTGCAAGGCTGCCTCTGGGGAACAGTGTGGTCGTGGTGGGTCAGGCGGGCATGTGAAAATAGTGTTCATTTATGTTTTTCCTCATATCCTTGCTTCCCCAAACTCCCCATTTTAGATGTAGGACCAGCACATGGGAGCCAATCAGAGAAGAAGGTGTAGGGTTAGGATTTTCCAGTAGCGCCCATCTGCAGAGACATGGCGAGTCCTCCCCTGCGGCCTGAGACAGGTAGTGCGTGTCTGTCAACATCAGCGCCTTCCTCTGCGCTCTGACCACACATGGCTGCACCTCTTTGGCAGCACTGACCACCTGCCATTGTGACTTTCTGCCTGTGTCCCCGCCCTGCTGGTGAAGGAGCGGAGGGCTAGGACCATTCGACCACAGCACAAAGGCCTGAAGTATCACACAGGAAAAGGAAATAGTAGCCCTAGCCAGCTTTGCTTGGTGATTAGAGCATCAGCCCTCGGACTGAAGGGTCTTGGGTTTGATTCCGGTCAAGGGCATGTACCTCGGTAGCAGGCTCGATCTCCTACCCAGGTCAGGGCATGTGCAGGAGGCAACCAATCAATGTGTCCCTCTCACATCGATATTTCTCTCTCTTTGTCTCTTCCCCTCCCTTCTACTCTCTCTAAAAAGCAATGGGGAGAAAATACCCTCAGGTGAAGATTAACAACAACAACAACGAAAGTACATAGTAAAAGCTCTTGAATGAATGAAAAATCTCTCCAATTTATAGATGAAGAAATGGAGCAGCGGAAGTTGGCCTCACACTTGCCTCCAGGGCCAGAAGAATCCACCTGAAGAAAAGAATCCTTCGTAGAAAACCCTCGCGAAGGTCAGCAGGCGTCTTTCCTTGCTTCTCTGACCAGCCCTTCACTCAGCAACCATGTGAGTAACAGGTATGCATGTTATACACATCTTTATGAACAGCGTCTCACTTGAGCATCACTGTCGTGCTGTGCGGTAAGTCACTCTCCCTGCGCTCCCTTGCAGGGGCCTAGAGATGACCCCTCCCCTGCCCAGCATCTCGTGCGAGGGCACAGGGGCCTGGCATCTGTCAGCACAGGAGGTTGATCCCAAAGTGTGAATGCTTATACAGCCTTATGTTGTTGTTCTTCTCGGCCCATATTGTCCCAGACTGTGCTGGGTGTCAGGCTTTAGTTTTACCAGGCTTGTTGAGGAACTGAACCCCAACAGATACCGACAAGAAGATGGTCACCACATTTCCCATACTAAAATAATCTCAAAGCATCGAGTCCCATATAAACATGGATATGCATGGCCTGAGGCCAGATATCCCACCACTCGCCAGCCTCGGGGGTCAGTCTACTCGGCTGCCAAGTAAAGCAAAGTACGACCCCTGCCCGGCCACCTCCCAAAGTTGTTACAAAGTCCCAACAAGACAGAAAGAGTCTTAAGAGCCTGCAAAGCCAGCTAGGATTTCCATTCTTCCTCATAAGCACGGGATGCACTGGAGGGTTCCTGGCGGCTCAGTCCCTCTGAAGCAAAGGCTTTCCCGGACTTCGTAGCCCCTTCTTCACCCTCACACCCTAATACTCACACAGGACCAAAGTCATAAAGACAACGGAGAGACACCTCGGGCACCGAGTCTCAGCGCATTAGAACAGGACTGTTTGTGTAACAACATTCTCCAGCTCCACATCTTCAAGTGGGGAAACTAAGGCACAGAAAGGAGAAGGGTCCCCAGCGCACCTGCCAGGGCTGGCCCAGACCCGGTCTGGTGAGAGGCCCTCCTCCTCCCTCCTCCTGTGCAAGTCACAGGCTGAGTTCAAAAACAAGGCCTCAGTAGTTAAATTATATTAAATTGAATGTTTAATTATATTAAAATTACATTAAATGTTTAACTTTTTGTTTCTTATTGTCATCTGAGTACAGGATGGTTATTAAAACAAATGAAATGGGCTGCCCACCACTTCCTCCTTCAGACACTGTGCCCACTGTGCCCGCGGGGAAGCAGTGGCTGTGACGCGCTGGGCGCTGAGGCTGACTCCCACACGCGCCGGCGTGTTAGAAGCGGGTGCCTGGGTGACACAGGGCCCTGGTGAGGGAGGGTCGCTCACAGTCACCATCTACCACGTCTCCCAGAAACAATTCACAGCCCATTCTGAGCAGACGAAGTTATTTTAGGTGAATCTTTTATTTCAAAAAGGCAATTCCTTCCAGCTGCCATGAGAGGATGAGCTGCAGGAAGAGGATCTGGAGCCTGAGGGGCCCAGGAGAGCTCCAGGGAGGGCCTTCTGCAAGCCGCCCTCTCTTGGGACCAGCTGACTCCATGGTCACTCAGCAGTTTGATCTAAGTCTTGCCCCAAGTCACCCATCAGTGAAGAAACCCTAGTCCTCCTTATCCATGCAGATCCCATCCCACAGAGAACTAGAAACCAAGCCTCAAGGTCGGACTGCCCCTTATTAACAGAGAAAGAGGAATGGAGAGAGAGTGGTAAAGCAAAAGGAGAATGAGAAAGAGAGGCCAAGAAGAGATGCGAGACCAGGGGAAAGCAGGTCAGAAATCAAGAGAGAAATGGAGACACAAAGATGGAGAGAGTAACAGAACAAGAAATAAAAGAAATGGAGAAATACGGGACTGGAGAGATCCAGAGAGGCAAAGGGTGGGAACATAATGGGAGGAAGGAAGGAAGGAAGGAAGGAAGGAAGGAAGGAAGGAAGGAAGGAAGGAAGGAAGGAAGGAAGGAAGCAGGGAGAGAGGAAGGACCCTCTTATGATAGTCATGTTCACGTCAGGCCAAGAGCCACCTGTGTCCACTGCGTGCGATCAGGCTCTGTGTGGGAAGCTACCCTCCCAAGCCAGGAACACGTGTTGCGAGTATCCAAACTCGCTGCCAAGGGCAGGTTACAGCCGGGCTCGGCGGCATCCATAATGGATAAGGTGCCCACGGAACAGCTCTGGAAGCTGCACTTAGTAAATTAGTTTCCAATAACTTTCTCGATGGCCTCCCAGCTTCAGCCCAGACTATATCAACATCATGTACAGGGAGTGACTTGGGCACCAGGAGGCCTGGACATGACATGTCCAGGGCAACACCCCCGCCCCCACTCCCCAGGCTCTCTCACCCAGTGGACAGCACTACCAGCCACAAGGGGAAATACATTTTGCAATAGAAAGTTGCCCAGAAGGGTGCTGCTGCTGCGGATGGAAAGTGATGCCATCTGTGTACGTGCCTAGTTTATCTAGACTGCATCGAATTAATCCAACCTTCCCAGAGGAGGGGGTGGCAGGGGGAAGTGTGCCTGCCCACCCACTGGTGCAGTGCACGGCTTTAAACAGGTACTGAGGGCCGCGCGGCGGAGCAGGGGAGAAACTGGAGCTCCTGCCTTGCTCAGTAATAATTAGGTTAATGCTGGCACGTGGTGAAAGCGGACCACTTGGCATGAGGGTCTGGAAAAGGAGCCCTGCTCGCTTCCAAAGCCGGCAGTAGTCAGGCAGCCAGCAGCACCTACCCTTTTTCCGGGCCTGGGCAATGACTTCAGCCGCGCTCTTGCTCATCACTTTGGTGATGTACAGGGGGCAGTTGGTCTGGTTGGCGATGGTAATCGAACGATTCACGGCTTCAGCCTCGACCTACAGAAAAGCATCTGAATGTGAGAACCGTCCCCACTCCACAAGCCCATCGTCACCCTCCATCCTGCAAAAAAGGTTCAGATGCCTGGGAGACCACTGTGTCCTCAAGACTCTACCCTGAGTGGCACGCCAGATGTGACCTGCCCAGTTTCACTCCATGTTGACTAGAGTGAGCGGCCTCCCTTCCTGGCCCTTCTGAGGGGTTCTGAGTGTGGTGGGCAGGCCTGCAAAGCCAGCAGCAGCCTGGGAGAGGTGCAGCTTCTTGGGCCTCGCCCACACCCACAGGGCCAGCACCTCTTGGCAGTGAGACTCGAGGTGGTTTTTATGCTTGCTAACATTTGAGGACCACCACGCACAGAAACACTGCTCCCAATGTTAGTACTTCATTCCAGCTGCGTGGTCTTGAGTCAAGACCCTCATTGATGTGATCATTTGTGCTGGGCTTCTGTACGATGCTCACAGAGGAAGCCAGCACTGACAAAGGGACAATGCGGCCTCACAGGGCCCTGGGGATGGAGCAGGCAGCATCTGTGCAAACCAAAGTCCCTGTGTGTGTGGACCATGGTCGTGGCCAGCCACAGGCTGGTACGACCTTCAGCACAAGAAGGGAAAGAGCTGCTCTAATTAATAATGTGATGCTTTAAACCTGATGCTTCAATGGATGAAAATTCAAAGACCCCATGCGACGACTGCTAAACCTGATCAGATAAGACTACTTAGAACATATTATATCTTACAGAGGAATCAGCCATGCATTTAGAAAGGGCAACTGAAAAAGCAAGTAAAGCTGTGAAACAACGGTGTCAGAAAGGCTTTTATTCCCTCCCAAATCTGGGCAAAAGGCTGTGGCTTTATCTCTTTGAGGCAAGGGGCCGGGCGTTACTCGGCTTTTTGTAGCCTCCGTTGCCCACCCTCAGCCGTTCCCAATGTAATGCCCAGTGCACAACAAGTGCTTGAAAATGTTTACTGAACAAATAAGTGGCTTCCTTCTATGTTCATGGTTAAAGCGAGGCTGTTCCATAAAGAGCTGTGATTTTCTTCACAAGAAATGACTGAACTCCTAACAATCATCTGAGCTAACCAAGCCTCCGCAGGAGCTTGGCCAAGAGCTGAAGCTCTCTAATTGCATTAACTGGCAATCTAATTTAATAACCTAAGACAACACTCACTTCTATGTTCAGGTTAAAGCGAGGCTGTTCCAATAAGAGCTGTGATTTTCTTCACAAGAAATGACTGAACTCCTAACAATCATCTGAGCTAACCAAGCCTCCGCAGGAGCTTGGCCAAGAGCTGAAGCTCTCTAATTGCATTAACTGGCAATCTAATTTAATAACCTAAGACAACACTCACATTTGGCCTTTCAGGCATCAAATATGTGAAGAGAGATGTCTAGAAATCTAAAGGCAAACCAAATGGCTCTTGAAAAAGCTCATTAAACGTCCAAATGTTTTTAATTCCTGGAATAGCTAACCGATCAGCTCTCTCTTTCTCCTTGGCTCCAGTTACAACCAAAGTGCCTCTGGCCCAGGCAGCACACAGGACAGACGTCCTCCATCTCTGTGGTCACCTCACAAGTCGGCAGAGTAGCCCAGATGGTGTGGCTCATTGGTTGAACGTCGACCTATGAACCAGGAGGTCATGGTTCGATTCCTGGTCACATGCCCAGGTCCCCGCAGGTTCCATCCTTAGTGGGAGGGGAGGGAGGGGGGTGTGCAGGAAGTAGCTGATCAATGATTCTCTTTCATCATTGATGTTTCTATCTCTCTCTCCCTCTCCCTTCCTCTCTGAAATCATTAAAAATGCGTATTTTTAAAAAAATGTCTGCAGAGTAAAGAGTAAAAAGGACGCCCCTAGAATCCTCATCGCTTCCTGGGGGTGCCAGTGACTTCCCAATTCACTGTCCCAACCCAGACACTTGAAAGTGAACAGAGACACTATTCATAACCGCAGGGAGCAATGGGTGGGGACTGGGCTGTCCCGAGTGCACTGGAATGAGTAATCATCCTAATTAGGGAGTAAATGGAGCAAAAGTGCCAGTTCTATGGGGCCCTGCCCAAGAGGACTGGCTTCCAGGAAGACTGGCTTTGGTTTGGAGAATCCGGGTCCCAGGGTCCCGTCAGGATTTGCTCATCCGCTGTGAGGTTCTGACCCCACCTCCCCCACCCTCGCACAGGCCTGGAATGAGGGCAGAGGCCAAACTACAAGATTACCTCGTGGAGAGAGAAGGTCATTTAAACAAGTCCCCAGGCTGCACCCAGAACCATGAAAGAATCCACATTCCACCCTTCTATGTGTATAGGTCTTTATCCTGACATGCAGCATAAACTGTCTCACACACCGAGCTCTGCTTTAAATACTATTGCTTTAAAACATTACAAAAATAGTATTAAAATTTGAAATAAAAACTATTATTTGCCTCATTATAGCGCTCTCAGAAATTGGGGGGTCACTAGCCTTGCTTTCTGATTTTAAAAATGAGTATGCCTCCCTGGCCAGCATGCTCAGTGGCTAGAGCGTCGACTGCATACCAGAAGGTCTCGGGTTTGATTCCTGGTCAAGGACATGTACCTGGGCTGCAGGTTCGATCCCCTGCCCTGGTCAGGCCACATGGGAGAGGCAACCAATTGCTGTTTCTCGCTCTCCTCCTCCTCCCTTCCATCTGCTCTCTCTTAAAAAAATAATAATAATAATGGAGAAGATATCCTCTGGCGAGGATTAATAAAATAAAATTTAAAAATGCAACATCCCTAGGTCCAGAGAGAAAAGCAAACTATATAGGAACACAGTGTCAGTACACACAAACACACAGGTCACAGGTCAGCACACACAACATGGTTCATACACACACCATCCCCAGGACACAGTGTCAGTACACACAGCAGTGTTAATACACACACCAGCCCCAGGACACACAGGTCACAGGTCAGCACACACAACAGTGTTAATACACACACCATCCCCAGGACACAGTGTCAGCACACACAGCAGTGTTAATACACACACCAGCCCCAGGACACACAGGTCACAGGTCAGCACACACAACATGGTTCATACACACACCATCCCCAGGACACAGTGTCAGTACACACAGCAGTGTTAATACACACATCAGCCCCAGGATACAGTGTCAGTACACACAACAGTGTTAATACACACACCATCCCCAGGACACAGTGTCAGCACACACAGCAGTGTTAATACACACATCAGCCCCAGGACACAGTGTCAGCACACACAACAGTGTTAATACACACACCAGCCCCAGGACACACAGGTCACAGGTCAGCACACACAACAGGGTTCATACACACATCAGCCCCAGGACACACAGATCAGTACACACAACAGTGTTAATCACACACCAGCCCCAGGACACACAGGTCAGTGCCAGCATGCCCTTCATGGCTCAGTCCCCAGCTGTCTGCGTAGCCCACAAGGCCGTTAGAAAGTTCCTTTCAGTAAAGAATTCTTCATCACCTCACCTCCGAGCCCCACTCTCTTCCCAGAGCCAGTCTTTCCCTCTTCCCCCCTTTCACAGGGGTCACGTTCTCCTTCATCTTGCTGCCCCCACAGGCCGCAGTCCTACTCCGTGCTGGGACACCTTTGATGGATACTAGATTTCTGTATTCTCTGCGTCTCCCTTCCAATCTTCTCCGCTGCAAACGGCCAGCCGTGCTGGCAGCCTCCCTGGGTGGCGGGGAGAGCAGCAGAGGCAGGGACCGCTCTGGGCAGTCCAGCGCAGGTCACGGACTTGCGGAGCGACATTCTCGTAGGCTCTGAGCCACTATGTCCTATGGCTGGGCAGCATCGCCCCAGCTGAACTGTGCATGAAGCTCAGTCCCCTCAGAATGGCTCCACATTTTATCGCTCATGTAGGGCTTAATACACAACAGACCCCTGGCGACAAACTGAAAATTGCCACCAGTAGCGGAGGGAGAAGGCGTGGGACGTGCCGGCAGCTGTCCTAAGGGAGCACCAGTCCTGGGCCTGGCAGAGGGCAGGGCCTCTGAACCCGCTGAGAAGAGCAGGCAGAAGAAAGCCTCCAACAGCAGCCCCTCGGGAGATGAGAGGTCGCCCCAAGGAGCCAAGAGCTCCCCATGTCGGAGCGTTCTGCCAGCCCCCAAAAAAGCCTTGGCGCCCCACTGCTGTGGACTCTGAAACACTCAAAGCAGCAGCTGCTACAAGAGACGTCTCTGCGCCAACCAGGACAATGGCCTTGATTTTGTGGTCAAAATAGCAACCGGAACAGCGCTCCTCCCGTAGCTCTGGCCTGTCCAGTGAACCCAGGGCGGGCTTTGCGTTCTGATTGGGGTTTGCAGGGATCTGGGGACGCAGAGCAGACAGCAGGGAGAAGGGGAAGCAAGCCCCACCAAGACTCTCAATTTAAACAAGCGCAGGGCTCCCAGAATGGCCTCCTGGAACAGGGAGAGCGGCGTGCTCTCTCAGGGCCAGCACCTTCCTGCCACCTGCACAGGTAGTTGGGACAGGGTGGGAGCAGCTCTGCAGCCAACCAGTGGGATGGCGGTGAGAGGAAACTGTGTAACTAAGCCCAGCCCAGGTGTCACCACCTGGTGACAAGGGCCCACTGGCTCGAGGCTGAGCTGGGGCTCCGCAGGCACGCTGGGGGTTGGTGCAGAACAGGAGGGTGTTGTGGGGAGCAGGCAGACACTGCATCTTCCCGCTCTCTGACACGGGGCAGCCACAACATCCCACCACCGTGGTGTCTTTATATGAGAGACACGCAGCTCACAAAGGCTCTGCCGCACACAAGCAGTGGAATACGAATGGGTTCCCCGGATAACGCTGTGCAGTCTGCATGAATGGCGCCCCTGCAGTTGTGTGAGGAGGGTCTTTGTGTCTCTCACAGAACCACCATCAAGCCTAAATGTGAACTGTTACGACGTGGTCTGGTACCTCTGGGGACTCAGTAAGTGCTGTCTCTGAGTGGGGCTTCTGAGGGAAAGACAGCACCATGAGAGCCATGCCATCCTGGGCCTCTC